GCGGGTTGGCAACCGCAGTTTTTTTATTGTTATTTTGGCTACTATCAGGAAGATGCTGCTGCCCATCTCCTGCCTGTTTCCCTTTGTCGCCTTTTACGACACCCACGGGAAGATATGGGGTAGTGGATATTCTTAACCGCCACTACACGGCCGGTGTACCTATCGGTTGTTAAATAAAAGTTCTAGTCGCCGTTAATTATCATTATATTACCCCGACAGAATACACGCACATATATTACATCAAAATAAATAATACCAATAACAATTTGCGACGTAAAGTTACAATTCGGAAATTACGGAATTAAAATTATAATCTATGATATTGACTAGTATTATAAGCGCGTGGCAGAGGGCTAAGAAAATCGGACGTGCATTCGCTGTGGGAACTCTAAACCGATTAGTGCACAGTGCACACTGCACAGAACACATGTACCCGATTTGTGTTCTGTGGACTGCCAGCGCGGTCGCAACCGAATGAGTGGCCAGACGATTGTGTACATAAGATAACAATATATCATACGGCTGCTAGTATATAAGTGCGTATAATTCAAAACAAAAGTCTTGATAAAATAATTATACTAAAATTAGAAATTATAGATATAAATAATTGGATTGAAAACTAAGTTTATAATTAATACACAATTATATTTATAAGATAGAACAAGGTATATGAAGTGTGCCTACAATTTAAACATTTTTTTCTTAACCTAAAACTTTTATACTTCTTTAAGGCCAATTTTTGAGGTTCTTTTCTTTTTCTTTTCTTCTTTTTGATTTTTCGTTAGGGTATGCCAAATTATTATTTTTTAACAATTTAAACTGGCTTTTCACTATGGGATATAATGTATGAAGAGCGTCCTTTCAAAACGCAAGTTGTCTTATCTCGGACAATTTTCCAATGCTACGGATTCGTACCCCTTAATATACTACTTTACTACAGCGAAACAGGCTCAGAAGGGCTAGAACCCAGAGCCGTAAAGCTAGTTAAAAAAACTACAACGAAACTCGATTTGGTATAAAAGCATGTCAAAAATGAGGTTTTTTTCAAAACGAAAGTAAGACAGCAACTGTGTTGTATCAAAATGCAACCAAAAAATATTTTGTTTCAAAACGTAACTTTTCTCTATGAATTATGTTAAAAGTCATTTCTCTTTTGACGCTCATGGCGCGTGTTTTCTTTTCTTTCAGAGAGAACGTCTTTGGCGTAGAGCGTGGACAGAGAATAGAGATTCTGTGTCTACGGCATATATGGTCAGATCCAGCCCGTGGGCTGGATCTGACCTGCTGTAAGATATGATCCGGCGGGAAAAAACCCAATTAAAAAAAATATTACATTAGGTACTTATACTCACGGGGTGACAGTGAGGCGGCAAACATCAAATCCGTTGATGTTTGCCGCCTTACACTTTGATAATCGCCGCCACTCGGCTTGCTCGATCAAATTCTTTGAGATTTGCAAAAGACACATCAAAAGATTTATTGCTTCTCAATTATTCTAAACTAGTTTATTCGAGATTATTCCTTGATTTTTCCTATATAAGCGGATGGATGGCCCGAACGTTAGTTTAGGTCTCTTTGAGCTACCGAGGTGATAACTTGGACAAGCGATATCCTAGCGAACTGCTCGAGCCGTCAACTTGCTTTGTGACTTTGTGTGCATCTTGAGTGGTTACTAACTATAGTTTGTTATTAAGTTTATTGAACGAAAAGTAAACAAAAATGATGTCTGGTGGAAAGAAACGAAAAGTAGATACTACCCCCCCCCCCCCCCCATCAACCTGGTAGTGGAATTGAACAGAAGATTACCCCAGGAGGGTACCAGCACCCCTGGAGAATCCCTCGCTAAACATTCACGACCAAACTATTCCACTCCTGGGCGTGGGTACTCAGGCTGCCCCGCGTATTCTGGGGGGGGGGGGGGGGCAAAATTCCGCTCGTGACTAATACTGCTCGGGGCATGCGGTGCAACAAGACCAAGGCGACCCCTTTCACGCTATCCGTGAATTTTTGCAATATCAGGGGACTTCATTCCAACCTTAACGCTGTCCATTACTATCTAGAGACGGCGAAGCCGGCCTTGCTCTTTTTAAGCGAGACTTAGGTGTCCTCTTCGGCTTATACTTCATATCTCTACTACCCGGGGTACAAATTTGAACACTCCTTTGTGCCCCGGGCTGGAGTTTGTATACGTCAGAGAGGACATCTGTTTTCGACGCCTCGGCAGTCTTGAAGGTACGGACCTGTCCATCCTATGGCTGCGCGTAGAGAGCGACGACCATCCCCGCGTCTACGGGTGCCTCTATAGGTCCCATAGCGGTAATAACGACACAGACTGACTCATCGACCACGTCCAAATGGCTGCAGACTCCGTGCTACAACAGGTCCCATCCGCAGAGATCGTGATACTCGGTGATTTTAACGCCCACCACGCTGAATGGCTTGGTTCTCAATTAACCGACCATGCGGGTAGATCTTTGTATGATTTTGCCTTGGCATATGGTCTAACACAACTGGTTACTTCGCCTACGCGGATCCCAGATGTGGAGGATCATATACCTTCCCTGTTAGACCTTCTGCTGACCTCCCATCCGGACGGATATCAGGTCTCCGTCGATGCCCCTCTGGGCTCTTCAAACCATTGTCTGATCCGGAGTACGGTGCAACTCACGCTCCCATCGCAGTTGCGATCTGCAGCTTGCCGCCGTGTTTGGCACTATAGGTCAGCCGATTGGGACGGGATGCGGTCTTTTTTTGCATCCTACCCTTGAGGGCGGGCTTGCTTCTCGCCGGAAGATCCTAACGTTGTTGCCGAGTCTGTTGCTGATGTGGTACTTCAGGGTATGTAACTTTTTATTCCATCCTCTCTGTGGTGCCCATCGGAGGCAGATCCCAGCCATGGTTTGGTCGCTCCTGTAAAATAGCATCACGCTATAAGCAGGAGTGCCACCAGGCCTGAGCTGACGCATCAACGTCTCGGGATGTAAACACCAGCGCTCTTAAAAAGAAGTATAATTCCGCCTCCAGGTCCTTCAAAAGTGTCATTGCCAAGGCAAAGTCAGAGAACATTGGCAGAATTGGCGAGAAACGAGTTCACCTCCCTTCGGGAACTCGTGCATTCTGGTCTCTCGTCAAGGCTGTCCAAGGGAACTTCTGTCAGCCATCTCTGCCATCTCTGCACAGGGTGGACGACTCACTGGTCCATGACGCAAAGGAGGAAGCCGATCTGCTAGGCTCTCTTTTTGCTTCCAACTCGACTCTAGATGACGTGGGGTGGATGGAGTGCTCCATGCGGGAAGTTCTTTTTACACAGCGCTTGGTGCGTAAAGCACTCCTCTCCCTGGACGTCATCAAGTCGAGTGGGCCTGATGGAGTCCCGCCTATTGTGCTGAAGACGTGTGCTCCGGAGTTGGCACCGGTTTTAACGCGTCTTTTTCGGTACTCCTACTCCCTAGGCGTAGTCCCGAACTCATGGAAGACAGCCTTGGTGCACCCGATCCCTAAAAAAGGCGACCGCTCAGATCCATCCAACTACAGGCCTATCGCTATCACCTCCTTGTTCTCCAAAGTAATGGAAACCATTATTAACAGCCAGCTCATGCGGTACCTTGAGGATCACCAGCTGATTAGTGACCGCCAGTACGGTTTCCGTCGAGGTCGCTCAGCTGGTGATCTTCTAGGTTACCTAACTCATAGATGGGCGGAGGCAGTGGAGTCCAAGGGGGAGGCGTTGGCCGTTAATTTGGACATAGCGAAGGCTTTCGATCGGGTTTGGCACAAAGCGTTTCTTTCGAAGCTGCCTTCCTATGGGTTTCCCGAGAAATTGTGCAATTGGATCACCACAGCTTCCTTGCAGATCGGAGCATGAAAGTCGTAGTAGACGGTGCATGCTCTGATTACAAGCCCATTAATGCTGGTGTTCCACAAGGCTGCGTGCTATCACCAACGCTGTTTCTTCTGCTTATCAATGATATGTTGCAAACCAGTAACATTCATTGCTATACGGATGACAGCACTGGTGATGCTCTATACACCGGCCGTGCCAATATTTCTCGGGAAAACGTCGCCGAGTACCGGAACAAACTTGTGTCTGAAGTCGAGTCTTTGCCGAACAAAGTCTCGGATTGGGGGCGACTAAATCTAGTCCAGTTTAATCCCCAGAAGACACAAGTTTGCGCGTTTACCGCTTAAAAGAATCCTTTTGTCGTATCTCTTCAGTTTCAAGGCACTCCCCTTTTTGCCTCAGCCAAAATCGGAATCCTCGGCGTGGACGCGTGACGTGCAGTTTAATGGTCACTTAGAAGAGAAGGCCAAATTGGCCTCTAAAAAGCTTGGCGTGCTTAGCAGAGCGGGACAGTATTTCATGCGGGCACACCGCTTGCAACTTTACAAGGCGCAGGTTCGGGCTCCAGTATTCCATGTATACTGTTCCCATCTCTGGGCAGGGGCTCTCCAGTGCCAGGTCCTTCCACTTGACCACATCCAGCGCAGAGCGGTTCGAATCGTCGACGACCGAGTTCTTTCCGATTGGCTTGACTCACTGGCACTGCGTAGAGATGTTGCATCTCTTTGCGTATTTTATCGCATCTACCACAGGGAGTGCTCTGAGGAATTGTTCGGACTAATTCCAGCCGCTCAATTTCATCATCGCACATCGCGGCAAAACTCGCGATGCCATCCATATCATCTGGATGATTGGCGGTCCACCACTGTGTGATTTAGAAGAAGTTTTCTCCCTCGCACAACTTCCTTGTGGAATCGATTACCACCAGCGATTTTTCCGAACCGATACGACTTAGGGACCTTCAAGAAAAGAGCCTACTCCTTTTTAAAAGGCCGGCAACGCATCTGCGATTCCCCTGGTGTTGCAGTTGTTCATGGGCGGCGGTAGTCACTTACCATCAGGTGAGCCGCATGCTCTTTTGCCTCCTCTCCTATAAAAAAAGAAGCTTAAGCTTTATCAAGCTTAGAAGTTTGCGTTATATTGTGTCCTGAAAAGAAAAATGAATTTGAAAAAATTAGTTTGTCAAGACGAACTACGTGTTGTTCGACGTTTAGAAATGATGGCTAATGATATAAAAACAATATTGACTGACCGTATGGCTGGTTTTGAATCATTTTCCATAGCATTAGACGAGAGCACCGATTTGTCTGACACAGCACAACTGGCTATATTTATTCGAGGTGTTGATAAGAAATTCACTGTTACTTGAACCACTACAGGAGAGGATATTTTTATTGAAGTTCAAAACGTATTGACAAGTTTTGGCTTGCCATGGTCAAAATTAGTTGGAGTATGCACTGATGGTGCAGCTTCTATTGTCGGCTTACGTAAAGATTTCATTGGAATTTTGAATGAAAAAGCAACAGAATTAAATGTACAAAAAGATGATTTGATAGTCCTTCATTGCATTATCCACCAACAGAACTTGTGTTCTAAGTCCATTCGACTCCAGAATGTTATGAATGTGGTAGTAAAAACCACCAACTTTATTCAATCCCGAGGGCTTAACCATCGTCAGCTCAAGGCGTTTTTGGATGAATTATCAGCTGACTATAACGACGTAACATATTATTGTGAAGTCAGATGGCTGAGCAAAAGAAAAATGTTGAAACGGTTTACGAGCTTAGAAAAATGAGATAGCAGACTTTATGAAAATAAAAGATAAACCACTATCTGAAATAAGTGACCCAAAATGGATATGTGACTTGGCATTTCTGGTCGATCTTACAGACTATTTGAATTATTTAAATTTGAAATTTCAAAAACAAGGACAGTTAGTAAATAATTTGTGCAGCCATTTGAAAGCGTTTCAGATCAAACTACGATTGAGGGAGTCACAGATGCTGTCTGGTAACAGTTACCATTTCCATGCTGAAGAACTCAAGTTACTGTCGGAACAATTTTCGAACAGATTTAGCGACTTCATAAACATGGAAAACTACTCCTACAAAATATAATGTACAAAATGCTCCTATACACTTACAAATGGAGTTTATCAAGATTCAAGAAAACTCTCTACTAAAATCCAAATTTGAAGACGTAGATTTGTGCGATTTCTACAAAAAATACCTAGAAGAAGACAATTTTGCGCAGCTTAGAAAATTCGCAAGAAGATTGATTTGTGCGTTTGGCAGTACTTATAAATGCGAACAGTTCTTTTCATTGATGAAAGTTAATAAATCAACACATCGTACACGACTGACTGACGATAATTTGGAAAATTCTTTACGTCTTTGCATCAGTGGAATTAATCCAAATATCGATGGATTAGTTTCCCAAATTCAAGCTCAAGTGTCTCATTGATTTCGGTGTATTTAACTTTTATAGTTTGTAACAATTGCAAATTTAACGGTTTAATTATAATGTACCATTTTATTAAATTTCATTTTGTTATTTTAATAAATTGTACCATAATAACATTGTCGTATTATTTCATGTCTAATATCTATCGCAAAAAATATTATCATTACTTTAAAATGCACTAAGTACTTTTAAACGCGGCCCGCGAACGTATTTGCACGCTAAAGTTTGGCCCTCAACATGTCACAGGTTGCCCATACCTGGTCTACGGCGTAGCGTAAAATGTAATAGCGTATATAAAATAAATGTCTGATTTACCCGTGTTTAATTTCTAATGCTTTTTTATAAGTAGCAACATTAATATAATTTGGGTTTCTAAGTGAAGTCTGTGTCAAAGTGAAACTTGTCCAAGATTTTGGATCAAAATGCAAGATGTCCATTAATGTTTCATTATTTTCTACTATTAGTACTAAAGAAACATATTTATGTTTTCATGAAATTTCTATCAGAACATTAGTAGTAGTTATGACAAAATCGGTATAATTGATTTTAATGAAAACTGTTTTTAATACAGGTTTTTGCTTAATTACACGGTAATATCAATGCACGTTCCTCAGGGCTCGATTCTTGGCCCATACCTGTTCTTAATCTATATTAATGACTTACCTTATCTTGTAGGGGACAGTCACGATATAGTATTATTTGTTGCCGATACCTCTTTAATTTTCAAACTCAAACGGCAGTCAATTAATTATGGCGATGTAAATAATACTCTATCGAAATTAGTACATTGCTTTAACGCCAACAATTTGCTCTTAAACGGCAATAAGACAAAATGTATTAAATTTACAATACCTATTGTAAAACATTCGAAAACCAATGTGCTCTTAAATGGGGAGGAGTTGAGTCTTGTGGATACCACTGTTTTTATTGGTATTACTATTGACGCTGTAAAACATTCGAAAACCAATGTACTCTTAAATGGGGAGGAGTTGTGTCTTGTGGATACCACTGTTTTTCTTGGTATTACTATTGACGCGAAACTTCAATGGGGCTCCCATATATCTAAATTAGCAAGCGGACTTGGATCTGCATCATATGCTGTAAGAAAGATTAGAAGTCTCACAGATGTTGAGACAGCTAGGTTAGTGTATTTTAATTACTTTCATAGCGTGATGTCTTGTAGAATTTTGCTATGGGGTAATGCGACTGATAATGAAGCTATATTTGTTTTGCAAAAGAGAGCCGTACGGGCGATTTATAATCTAAATTGTAAAGAGTCCCTCAGAGAAAAAATTAAAGAAATAAACATATTAACTTTGGCATCGCAATATATTTATGAAAATGTAATGTATGTACATAAAAACATAAATAGCTTTAATATTAAATTAAATAATAAGAATAAGGATGTTCATACCTATAACACTAGGAACAAACATAAGCTTGAAATGCCAGTTACTAGACTCCACAGAATGAGTAATTCATTTATGGGGCAATGTATATGCTTTTACAACAAAATCCCAGAACATGTTCAAAGTTTGTCAATAAACAAGTTTAAAAGTTTTATTAAAGAAAAACTGTAAAAAAAGGTTATTATAATATCAAGGAATCCATGAATTAAAAGAACCCCTGGTTCATCAATTCATTTAAAATTGTATAAACAAAATTATTGTTAAGTGAAATTATGTTTAAAAATAAAAGTTCCGCTGGGTTTATTCTTGGTTCTTCCCAGGACAGAGGTATTTTCCGAACCAGTGGTAAATAAAAAAACGACTTTCAATAAGTATTATGTAATAATCAATATTGAATGAAAATCATTCTATTCTATTCTACTCAGAATTGTGTTTGTTGGACAAGTCACTATTTGAAATGACGCCCTTCATATTAAATTATATCCCGAAATATAAATTATATCCCGCGATTGGCTTTCACACTGTGAGATATATCTTTTTACCAGTGTGCATTCCTCTCTGGATTACCCCATGTACCCCGCACACCGTTCTGTGGAGGCGCGGAACGGTATGCGGGGTACAGGGGGAGAAATATAATATGAAAATATCGCTCGGTCGATCGAAAAAATATTTAGTTTGAAATGTAATATATATATTATAGTTCAGTATAAACGTTTCCATTTAAAACTATTGTGAACGATATTAATTTATATCTCGAGATGTAATATTATATCCCATAGTGAAAAGCGGGCTTTAAGTAAATATTTGTGTCTGTACTGATAATATATGTTTTGACGCAATCCTTACAACGAATAGCTTTCGTTATTTTCCGACAAATGTATCCAGCAGTGTAAGCTGAGTAGTGGACTTTAATTTTTTCCATGACTGTGTCATTCGCCAGCAATTTTTCTCTTGAACTTGCTTGTGAAGAAGATGGGAGTTCTCGCAAAACACTGGTGGTGTTTTTTACATATCTTTTGTTTACATCACAAGAAGTGCTAGAGCAGTTTACATCATAATCTGACAGGTTGTTACGGAATAGCACCACATAACTCTTAAGTGTGAACACAGAGCACTTTTTATAAACCAGTAAGTGTGAATTGTGTGTTGAGTATTCTTAAGTACTCTGTTGTGTAATTGTCAAATTGACAGATGACATGACGTGACAGTGACGTGTAAGTAAGTGTAACATTTGATGTCAAATTCGAGTATCGATTACTTTTCTATAAAATTAGGATTATTATACTGAAAGAACATAAATAAAAAAAGCTATGTCGAATAAGAACAAAACTTCAGATGGTGGTATTAAGAATAAAAGCTCGGAAACATTGTGGAAGAAAGCCTTTACAGCTAATGCTGATTGGCCCGACAAGGTTAGTTTCCAATCACGAGACTTGAATTTTTATTGGGCTTAATTAAAAATTAACTTAAGTGTTAGTATTTGATAGCCTTTCCTTAATGTATTGCTAAGACTATAAATTTTATGAATAGTTCTGATATAAATTTAGTTATATCTCCTTAGTTTTAATAGATTTCCTCCACAGTGGTATCCCCTGTAAAATTTCAACGAGCTCCAATATATTTTGATGTTTGTTTTAATTTTTTAAATAATTATTTAAAAAATTAAGTACCTGTATATAAGCCTACTCTATAGAATTTGAATTATTGCAACGCTTTGTAGCCAAGTATGCATCCACAGTTTTATATTATTATGAGTTGTTATGAGGAAGATACTGCTGCCCACATTCTGGTTCAGTTCTTCCTGACCCCTATTACCACACCTATGGGATAGCATGGAGTAGTGGGGTCCCTTAAGTTGTCACTACACGGGAGACAATATTTACTATATTCTAATTTATAATAATTGTTAATATTATAATTAATCATATACATACATGTGTATATGTAGAATTTTATCAAAATTGGTTAAATCCTACGTTTTTTTGGTTATATATATTCAACAAACTATCTACCATGGATCGTTTCTTATAAAATATGTCTATGTTAAGATTTGTATTAATCTAGTTTTTTTTTTTCTTGTTTAGGAGGAATTTTTAGATGTTATTTACTGGATGAGACAGGCCATTGGAATTGTCTTAGGTCTGTGTTGGGGTCTATTACCATTGAAGGGATTCATAGGGTTGTTATTGTAAGTAATACTAATAATAATAATACTAATCCCTAAACCCTGTATCTTAAAGCTTTATGTAATTTAAATAAACATTTTTATTTTTATTATTTTTATTTATTAATACTTGATCTAGTACTTTATATTTGGAATCAAATTTATTATTAATAGATATTTTAAGACAAGACATTGTCATTATTCAACATATTTACAATCATTTACTTTAATAAAATTTTAAATCCACTTGATGAGCCGAAAGCAAAATCAAACAATTATTTTGTAGAAGGTGATGCCTAATATATTCATCAAATTTTATTTTTATATTTAAAGTTATAGCCAACATATTATGTCTTACTTTCTGCAATAAGTCTAGTCTTTTTTTCTGTAGATTGTATACTGTACTTGTAAATCCAATTCACTTTTAAAACTCCCCTTTAGTTAATACTCACAAATTATAGTCAGATGAAAGTAATACACTACCACTTATGCTTAAATGTAGTACCCATAAGATGTAGTCTTGTGTAGTTCGGGAATGATGAACAAATAGGAAACATATCTTAGCACTGTACTAGAATAAACATTTCCAAATGTTTATTGTTAATTGGTCTAACAGCTCTTTTCGTACATCTAAACTTGCAATATGTAAGACCACGCGTTTGAGCAAGAGCATACGAGAGCAAGCAAACAAGAGTTGGTGAGTTGAGTATATCATTCGGACAAGAGCCGACGAACACCTATAATGGTACCATTGGTCAAATCCGTTAAAACGAGACATTGTAGAAAGATACATGTTAGGTATTTCAATGCAATAACATCTAATTTAGCTTATCACCCGAAAAGTTATCTATACTTATTATACTTAATAAATAGATACAAACGAACATTATTAAAATTATCATACTTATTATTTACTTAATAAATAGGCGCAGACACACATTTCCTAAACTTTGTTTTGGCACTTGCGATTGCGTAAAAATATAATATAATTGAAGTTAAGTTATAACAACTATTGAGGAGTATTGTTGTGCTTTTTATTATTGTTTTTAATATTGATTGCATCCTTATCGATTCAAGGAGATATCGAACGACTGAGACTGACTGACTGAGATAATCATTCCATCCAGATTTTACAGATAGATACAGTTTAAACTGCTTAGTAGTGCTGATGACCAAATAGAGCTAATAGAACTAATAGAACAAACTAGTTCACTGTCCGTAATGAACTAGTATGGAGTAATCTTTAAAATGACCGAGCAGGCACAAGTTTAATAAGATGACATATTAGTCTACAAAATAAGAAAAAAATCAGGGTCATAAATCAATTCTTATTTTACTTAAAAATTTAATAAAATATTTCATTACTTTCAGATTTGTGGTTGTGAATGCTGCAGTAGTATTTATTTACGTTAACAATTTTCAAAATGTTGATGAGGAAGAATATGGTGGTATGTGGGAAATAACTAAAGAAGGGTTCATGACATCTTTTGCTGGGTTTTTGGTAAGTAATCATTTTATTAAAATTTTTATGAATTATAATAGTTTTGTCCGACTAGTTTTATTTCAGAAAAAACAAGTTGTAACATCTTCTAACAAAAATAGAATTTAAATTGTTTTTAACAGATTCTCTGTTTGTAAAACAGACACCAGACAGACAGACAAAACAGACCAAACAGACACAGAACCAATTAACAATCAAAATGCAGATGCGTAGTCACCCCTGTGGTTAGTCCTTAGGGGTGACTACAATGGAATGCCTCATTTCCAATAAAAAGAGTCTCCAGTTCTTTACACCCACCATATGGAACACAGCAGCATTTAGCTGCTATTTTACGGTGTTTTTCCGTGAGAGCGTGATCCTATCCTGGTCGAGCCAGTCCATTCATGCATTATTATTTTAGTATTTCATGCACCATTCATTTTAGTCCTCAGTGGTGATATACAACACGTAACATAATTAACGCACATCCAGAAAGTAGTTTGTTCACTAAATCGATTTCTATAATTTTTAATATAGGTAATTTTTTATCCCAAAAATAATTGAAACTACGTAATTTACAGTCACACTAAACCTGTACAGTCAAAACAAACTGAAATAGACCGTAACTCAAGGCAATAAGACTTTTAAAATTGCAGTTTTATTTGTATTAATACAAATTCCGTCATTCAATACAAAATAAAGAAAATTGAAGCTTATTCCAAGTATGGTAAAGTCTTTGCAAATACAGAGTTTGTAGTGCCTTATAAATGTCGCGGCGGCCAGCCTATTGACCTCCCAGATCAGCTGATTTGACGCCTTTTGACTTTTTTTTTATGGGGACGTATTAAATTATTAGTTTATTTTAGTCAGACAACAAGTGCCGAGGACCTAAAAATAGTAATTCTATGAGTGAACGATTTTAGAATAGCGAATAAATGACACTGAATTGCTTTCTAAATTATTTTCTTTCTATTTTAAAACGTTACCTCCACACTAGGATTTTCTCTTGTATTGTAGGGCCAGTGTACAAACATAAATTACACAAGGACAAACATCCAGACCCCGAACAATTATTTATAGGCCATACGAATATTGTTCCGTGTGGGATTCGAACCCGCGGTCCTTAGTGATGCAACTCAATTGCTAAGCCACGGAGCCGTGGTGGACATTTTGAAAATGTATTAAAACACAATGTTGCATGAGAGTTTAGGCTATCAGTAAGTTAAATATTTGATTCTTGAAATTATTGTAATCTTGATTCACATCTTTTAAACACGCCGACTTTGAATTATGTTGTCGTATTGCCTCTTAGTTTTAGGAGTTCATTATTATTTACAATTAAAATGGGTCTGGCTGCCCAATTTTGTTAAAGGTATCAAAAATTGTATAAAAAATTACGAATTCAACGGTATTCTTATATTTTTTTTCTACCTTAAAAATGACTGAAATATTGATGAGTAAAGTGGTGTTTTACGGTAAGGGCGACCGCTTTGCTCCGCATCGCGATGTGACGTCCCAAACCGACACGTCGAAGCCACCAGTAGTCTTTAATGTTATATTTTTTTTATTCTCTCCATATTTTTCTTGTCATGTTATTTATTTATCAGTAACCTTTATTTTTTTTTAAATTTCTGTTATATCAAGCTCCTTGGGAATAAAAGTCCGATATGAGAAGATAAAATCCTGTAGATCAAGTTATACCATTGCATTTTCAAAACAGTATAGGTACCAACTACCAACGTAATACCGCAATCAGTTTATTCAAAAGTAAGTCAAAGTAAAACTAGGACCATATGTTTGCAACCACTGACGAACTACGTAACCAACAAAATTTCTTCGCGTGTCACTAATAACAGTAGGAGTTGATTAATACTCACTGCATTAGTAAGTTTAAGTAAGTTTTTTCATTTTATGTCGTTGTGAATCATGTGCAACTTCATGGTTCGGTCAGTTAATACCTACCTATGTATTACTGCCTAGTTACTAATCAATGGTAAAGCTGTGTATACTTTTCGTAATCTTTTATTAGTAACTTACCTTTAGAGCTTTATTCCATGCATTTCAACCATAAAAATATCCACTTTTGGCAGATTAGCTGACTGTCTTTTTTCAACATTGGCTTCCATTTTCTTTTTTATACAGCACTACACACCGTGATTATACATATAAATATAATCATATGAAAGCTAAATATTCAATACTTTAGTTTATAAATGAAATCAAATAGTTCATTTGTGATTCACAGTTTACAAAAAGGTCTTATTTAAACACAAATAAAGTTCAGTCTGTGATCAGCCTCATGGGCATTAATAGTTCATTGATTACATTATTCATAATAATAGATTAGATTATTAGATTAAATTATTCATCTTAAATAATATTGATTATATTGGATTAGATTATTCATATTAGATTAGATTGTTCATAAATTATTAGTTCAAAATTATTATATAGTCGTTGGGTGTATTATAAGTTTTATATCATCTAATACAGTCAACCGGACATTAACTCTGACATTCGATATAATATGTAGGTAAACGACCGTATACTTCCGAGCGCGCGGTTAGTACTGAACTTAGCAAGTACCTACTCCGCGTTCGCTCTGTCGGATTGTGATATCACGTCACAGAGAATGAGTGGGTAAAAATTAAAAAAAAATTGCGAAACTTCAAAACATTATAACTTTCGTATTTCTGCACCAATTTGGATGAAACAAAAACTATTGTTATTTTCATAAACATAGCTTTAAAGCTATATAGATTTTAAAGCTATATAGATGTGACCCATTAAAATGTTTTGCAAATTCATAACATTTTGTAACGAATATTGCCTATTGACATTGTATCATAATCAATAAACAAAATTATTCAGAGTCGAAACTCCAAAGCCTGAAAAGTGTGATTGAAAGATGCAATCAAATGTTTACTAGACTTAAATAAACAACTCAATACACGGAGTTCTGACATCTGTTAATGTTCATAGGTAGGTATTTCTTTAACGTAACCAATCATGTATTGTCGGCTTTTTTCGGCACTAATATCTACCTAAAGTTGTGTCAAGCGACTTCGGCGTTAACTCGTCTCGAACGCGAGCGAATACCTACTAGGCTAGCAAGACCTATACTATAATACCTATACTATAGGTTTTGTACGGTGACCACAACATTCTTCCGGAATTAGTATAACTAATTTAATAAATAATCAATGCATAAACATGTTTAACTAAGAATTCAGTGTATGTATTATGATTATAACATAATATACTAATTGGGGTGTCTGAGGATGTGCGTTAATTACGTTAGATGTTGTAAATGTAGCCTTCCTTGTTTGAAGTTGGTTGTAGGTGCCCATGAGTTGCAGTAGCCAATCGCCATCTTGTAAATTGGAAGTTTGTTTGTCACTCATGTTTATAAATAGAAAAATTAAGTACATTTATATTTTTTATATTGTAGGTGACATGGATAATAACATACACAGGCCTGCATGGGAATGAGAATTTATGAGAGTAAACCAAAGTCTAGTGGACAAATAAATCCAAGATAACTGCCAATGCTGAAGTACAAAATAATGCGTTGTAATAATGTGTTGGATAAACAAAGCCTGTTTTTACGACTACTTTATTTGTACTGTTTCATGAAACTGTATTATTAAAAAGAAAAAATATTTTGACATTACAGTAGCTGGTCCAGAAGATGTTCTTTATTGTGGTAGCACAGTGAGTTTCATTTCAAATTACAATCCAGAATTTTCACAGTGTAAATATAGTATTTGTTAATTTGTCACAGCACCACCTATCGGATCCAAGCATATCTGTGAATTGTCTCGACAAAATGTTGTACTGAAGTTACATGATCACTAACAGACACACCAACAGTTTTATTTAAAAATATTATAAATTATATAAATATATATTACATAACCCTTATGTAGTAGTAGTTATTATTGCGTTATTATTATTATTTAATGTTTAACAGTTATAATTGCTGCAATTTTATTAAATTATAGGTCTTTTTTGTCAAAATAAGCAAGATAAGCAAATAAAGGTTAGTTGAAAACATGTATATAATTTAAAACAAAAATGGTAAAGATTGCCAGACCACATATTTTACTCTTTTCAAACTTAACAATTCCCAAAGTTTAAATCCAAAAAATATAATTTGTCAATAAGAAAGTAATGTAATATTAACTAGTAACCTATCGGGTTATTGATTATATGGATGTACTTACATAACAATTTTGTGAGAATGAAAATTTGGAAATTACGATGAAACCTAACTTGCTTTTGTACATACATACCTAACTTAATTTTGCTTTAGATATTCGAGTATTAAAGGAGCTAACAGTCCACCAGTAAGTAGCTGGAAACCTCAGTGGGTGCTCAGTGAGTCGTATTGCTACTCCTAGCAGAATAGGGATGAATTTAGAAACATAATATTTTATAATTCACTCATACAGGAGACAATATGACTGTGAGAAACTTTTTTAATATTATGAGGGTGACAAACGAGCATAAAGTCCATCTGATGGTAAGCAGATGCTATGACCTATAGACATCTACATCTACCCATGAGGTCTAAGCTAGAATGCTTTATTTTCTATCTATTTAATATATGTATTTAAAAATTTTAATAGGAATAAAAAATTATAATAGGAAAAGTTTAAACCTAAAATTATAGTATGGTAGTTCCATATAAGTTAATTTTTGTTATATTGATGCTGCTGAAAATTGAAACAAACGACATGATGGTAAATTTAATAATAATTAAACATTCATAAAGACGTTTTATTTTAAATGTGGTTTGTTTGTACGTAGTACATATAACTCAATGTTTGTTTTAGACTAGTCATAAGAACAGGCTCTGTGATGTGTGCATTGGTATTAAGATGGTGGCAGCATAGTAAATTAATTATATTTGTAAGACATGTATTTTGAACTGATGAAGATAATAAATGCATTTTAAATTATGTATGATAGTTGTTCTTTCAAATATAACCGATAATAATGGTTATTGTTTTATACACCAGCAACACAGGTATTGTTGATAAGTGCCGAATGACTGCGTTATTTCCAGTGAAGGTAAACCTGTTTGTCTGCCAATTCGTTTTGTAACTAGGGCTGCCAATTTCGTTTAGCAAATATATTATTTTCCTGTTTATATTACCTGTATGTATATTGTATATAGTTGATGGCAAAAATAACAATATATAATGATGCAAATTTTTATTATTAAAAGAATAGTAGAATACTTTCACCCACTATATGTATATTTTAGAATTATTGTAATCTGTTCCCCTTAATATAGGATACTTTTATATTATAATATAGTAGGCAATCCTAAGCGGAGCAGTTTGGTAGACAAAATGATGTTTAAAATGTACACAAATTGACATGTAAATATAGTAAATCTCATTCCTTCCTTTCATTTGATTTTTATCGATAAGTATCACACAAATACTTACGTGGTGGTTTTGTGAATCTTCGAAAGATTGTTGACGATTATTTAACCGTCTATAACAGATCTAATTTTATAAATATCATTGTTCGGAATGAGAAGGGCATACAACTGGGGGTGGAATATTATGTACTGTTATTTTAAATATCAAACATGATGTTTTGCTGTCCATTGGTTCAACGCGATTTTGTTAATATAACAGTTTGCAAGTTCACCTCCGGCATTGGACTAATGTGGTTCGTTAACCATATCTAGCAGAAGTTTAGGCGTATTCGAACGATACACGGAGAAAAGTATTGTTATATATAAATCAGAAAAGAAAAACAATTTTGCAGAAATGCTAGAAAGAGATTATCAATTTTGTGCTGGTTTATGAAGTTTTTTGTTTTATTTTAAATAGCCTTGTTTAACTAAAATGGGATTGATTCTGTTTGCGTTTTTAGTTAGATAAGTGAATTTTTATTGTTGAATTTACTCAAATACATGTAGGTAATTCCTTACGGGATTTGCCGTATAAATTCGTGCAATGCATTATGTAATTCAAAGGCTTGTTATTGATGTAAATGAAATATTTTGTGGAAAGCCACAATTTGGTGATATTTGTTTACATAATTTAAATCCAAATAACATTCTTTATTAATAGTACATATTCAATAAGATTTCTTTATTAAAACCAATTCGAAGGATTATTATTGATGTAAATAAAATATGTGGAATGTCAAAATTTGTCGATATTTGTCTCCATAATTTAAATCCAAATGTTTTGTTTATATTACATACATATTTAATTATTATTTTAAAAGTTTATAATCGGCTTGTACGGCAGTGTTGGCAACATTCAATGATTATATCAAAATACCTCACTAAAATTCTGTACATGGGTTCCATTTTTAAACGCAGCAATTTTTGTAATATTAACTGGTAGGAAACTGTTAATATCATTATCGTCTAAATAAAAAAAAATATATCGGAGACATTTTAGAGAAATTACAAAAATATGAAATATGGCAACACTGTAGCAAGATCATAGAATATAATATATACTTCATTTTATGTTATATATTTTTGTTGATACATACTTCATTTCGTATGAATTGTTTCATGTTTGTAAAGTTGACTCATTTGTAAAAATAGCATAGGTACTTTTGAACAAATAATAAAATAATTGATTTATTATGAAGCTTAAATTTTCATTTATTTTAAATTACATTAATCTCTTTAAAGTAATAAATAGGTAGTTTGATACGGTTGCTGTAAAAAAATTACGATTTTTTGTGTTAATCATGTTAATTTTCTGCCGACTTCAAAAAGGAGCCGGTACTCAATTCGACTGTATGGTTTTTTTTTACGTGTGTTACCTCATAACTTTTTACTGGGTGCACCGATTTCGATGATTCTTTTTTTGAATTTTAAATTATATAATAACTTTTTAGAATTATACTCAACTACAATAATAATCCTAACTTACATAGTTTTCAAACGTAAATTTTTGTGGTTTTGCCTTCAAGTCTGGTCTATGTCCTATGTCAAGATCTTAATTTTGAATAAATAAAAAGTATAAGTCAGACGATTTTATTTTATGAAACCTAGGTCATAATAACTTCGGTTTTTTTTTGCTATTCATAATAATATTATTTGATGTATTTAACATTTTATTAAAAAAAATTAAATTATTATTTTCAGCCTTGATCCCAATTAATCATAGCGTGTATGCATTCATATCTAAAATAATACAATAATTTATAAGGTGATCGCTCAGTCTGTGAGTCGTGTGAGTTCGGGGCATTATTACTGCACTTGATTTCTGTTTTAAAATTGGCAAACGTGACGTAAGAAGTTATTCTCTATTTCTATATAAAGTGCTAATCTTTGATCAGGGTTACCTTGAACAAGGGCTAAGGGATAGTCAAAAAGGTCTTTAAATATTTACATTTTGGCTTTAAATATTGGCATTACATTTGAATCACAGCATTAGTGGGGTCCCAATACATCTAAATTAGCAAGCAGACTAACATCTGTAGCTGTAAAAAATTAAGTCTCACTAGTATTGAAACAGCTAGATTTGTTTTCAGTTATTGTCATATCATAATATCTTATGTTATTTTGCTATGGGAAAATGAGGCTGATTTAGAAATTACAATTTTTGTTTTGGAGAAGAAAACTTTAAGCGCTAGACTAAATCTAGAGTCTCTCTCAGAGAAAATATTAAAGAAATAAAGATATTAACTTTGACCTCTCAGAATATTTACGAAAATTTAATGTAGGATAAATTAGCTTCTAAAATAAATTACTTTTAGTAAGATAAAGTTGCCACTTAAATAATTTTACCTGTGTTTATTTGAGTAAGCGGCATTGTTATTTACGTAAAGATATCGCGGATAATTTAGAATATGAGTGACAAGCGAACACAGTCCACCTGTTGGTAGGTAGATACTGTGGCCCATAGACATCCACATCCATTCCCAAAATGCAGATGTGTTGTGAACCCTTGAGGACTAATGATAATGATAATAATGCCTCATTTCTAGTAAAATGGGTCTTCGGTTTTCTACATTAACCATTAACTCTCAAGGTAGTACATAAAATATACGCTAGATGGCTTCAACAAGACTAAATCGATAAGTTATGAAATCGTGAATTTTTATGAATTTATGAATGGATTGGATACGATAATTTTATTCAACACTGTTAATTTTATTTATTTCATAAATTTATTTTAACAGTTAAAAGTTATATTAACCATATTTAAGGCACTGCGCAAAGAGGAGATTGAGATAATAGGAAATACTGTGTTCTGTATTCTGTCTCATTTTCTCCCAGGCTTAATCCTACTTATGTGTATGTTTGTCTTTTTTAGCGTCGCTTTTTCGTTTCATTGGGTTTCAAATTACGATTCTAAAGAAGTTTTCATTTCAAAAAGTATAAATAAAAGCACAATTGGCGATCATATCGCTTCGAAGCGACCTTTACCAGGCAACCAATCAATATCAAACAAGGTTTTCAAGGCAAATAATACAACAGCAGTTTAGTTCTGCAGATTTTAATCGTCCCTCCAAGTGACCAAGACGTCGTCGGTGCGGTACCGCTGCGTGATGGTGGAGTCGCGGAAGTCCATCCTGGTCCCGGACTGAAAAGCGAGCGCGCCGGCATGTGCGATCATGACGCCGTTGTCGATGCAGAAGCGCTCGTCGGTAGCGAACACTTTGCCCCCTCTCTCCTCGCACATCACACCCATCATCTCCTGCAGGCGCTCGTTGCACCCCACCCCACCTACTATTAACACCTGCAAACAATATTCATTTCCTTTCTTTAGCTGGTAGAGCCACATTGCAGCTATATTATGGTTGTAACACGAATGAGTCGGTTGTAGAACCAAGCTCTCACAGAATACCAGCGTAAAATAGCAGTTTTATGCTGCTGTGTTTAGTATGGTGAGTGTAGAGAACCGGAGACCCTTTTGACTGCAAACGAGGCACTCGATCTTAGTCCTCAGGGGTGACGACGCATCTGCATTTTGATTCTTAATCGAGGATAAATGTAGATGTCTATTATTCACAGCATCCATTTACCATCAGGTGGATTGTGTGCTTGTTTGTCACTTTTATTCTACTTATAAAAACAAACCTTTCAATCCAAGTCGTTCAAACCAATTCATTCCCATAATGTCATCCCGAGGGGGTCGTAAGAGACGACAGTTGGAAATAAAACAAGAGATGGGCTACTACATCTTTCTCCTGAGGCCTTCTCCATCTTAGGGATGATTTGTTTTAATCGTCACTCTTGACAGGCGGCAATCGACAATGTTTCACCAGCTTTAACATTGCTTATCTCTCACCAGTTTGGGTATTTTACGCCTGGGGTAACGGAGATGGCCATACTATCATGTATTGTTGAGTGTCATAAGATCTTTTTGGCATATCCCACAGAATAGATGATGGACTCTATTACGGTTACAACTTAGAAGGTCAGCATCATCTTCGTGATAACAAATCAAAACAATGACGGCTTCGTGGCGCAGTGGCTTAGCAATAAGTTGCAGCGCTAAGGGCCGCGATTTCGAATCTCGCACGGAACAAGTATTTGTGTAGCCTGCAAATAATTGTTCCGGATCTGGATGATGATCCTTGAGAAATTTATGTATGTAAATTGCCCCAACGATACAGGAGAAATTCTTAATGTAAAGGTAACGATTTTTTTTAAATACTGCTGTTGTGCAGAACTATTTAAAGAAATCATCATATAGACTGCTTTTAAATATACAAATTTTTTTTAGAATAGAATAAGTCATTTTCTTCAAACCAATGTGTATGCTTCATCAATAAGATTACACATAGATAAAGCAAAGTTACCATTAAATATTTAAAAAACAGCAGTAACACAAAATGACACACAGACAATGACTATCTTAAAGATAAAAATGCTTGTTCTTAAAATCTTCCAGTTTAGCACATAATAAAATCTCTTTTAATAAACTGGAAAATATAACATTATATTATTATGTATATAAAATCAAAGACAGTGTGTTTTGTCCCATAGTAATAATTATATGTTGACATTCAAAAGTGCTTTGTATATAAGTATATAATTCTAATTACTCTTAGACATATATAAAGACATTTAATTTGATTTGTTGCCTACCCAAAGTTGCGAACCTCATACTTTGTAACAGTTGTCAAGTGTGACAACTGTGATAAAGTATGAGGCAATCAATAGGAGGCGAAAGTGCAGTCTATGGAGGTCCAGTAATGAACTTTAGAGAGGCTGTAATGAATATTTCATCATCATCATCATCATTCATCATTACAGCCCTTTACAAGTCCACTGCTGAACATAGGCCTCCCCCAAAGAATGCCACAAAGCACGGTCCTGAGCCACCTGCATCCATTGACTTCCTGCATGTCTTACCAGGTCGTCACTCCATCTCGTGGGGGGACGCCCTACACTTCGCCTACCGATACGAGGCTGCCACTCGAGAACCTTTCTTCCCCATCGGTTGTCGGTTCTTCGAGCTATATGGCCGGCCCACTGCCACTTCAACTTACTAATCTGTTGGGCTATGTCGGTTATTCTGGTTCTACTGCGGATATAATGAATATTTATGAATGAATAATACAATATAGTTCAGTAACTGCTTTCATACCTCATCGGAACCGCAGTGAGCCATCGCCCTCTCGGTGATCTCCACCAGCATAGCAAACACGGTCTCTTGTAATGAGTAACACAAATCCTCTGGAGTGTATTCCTTAAGTAGTTCGTCGATTTTGTCCTCCATGTAAGATAGTATACCAGAAAAACTTACATCCATTCCTGTAGACATAAACTACTGTTTGAACATTCAATAGTTTCAATTATCCCCGCTCAATATTCTAAAAAAATTGAGCCAACCTGATTGCCAATTGTGGCAACTATGGCAAATATCTCACCTATAAGGCAATGGGAAGGGCCTATTTTCAGCAGTGGAGTAAGAGGCTGTAACGGGTAATGTCAAGGCATATGGTTGTTACATAAGAGGATCCATCTCCTAATTTGGTCTCGTGGGTTTTGTAAGAGGCAACTATGGGGAATTGCCAGAAAAACCTTATGCCTCTGCTACCGTTAGATGTCGGTTTAACTAACTCGTTTACGTCAAACGTAAAATACCAAGACTGACGATGAGAAGCAGCTTCAAAGTTCACGATTACTGCGATTGTCAATCTGTATGTCAAGCATATCCTAATTAAGGCAAATCTTTGCAACGAGTGAGGGGCCCATGTCTAGCAGTAGATATTTACGAGTCTATAAGGAAAAAAGATAAAGAATTAAGTGGCCACATAAATATCTTAATATTTATAGTATGCCAGCAATCAATCTCGTCAATACCAATCAAACGTAAAAATACCTGAATTGTTTGAAAAAAAAAACAGACGTGGTAACTATCCCCACTCCACTGCAGAAACAAGTCCTGCTCAATATTGTAATGGGTTAAAATAGGTATGCCATGCTGCTCCAACTTTTTTAAAATACATACTATGCACTAGACATGCAGGATACTTCAAGAAATATTTTCCTACACCGTAGAGCACATGTTAAGCACATAATTGCAATTAACAATGCTAAAATGCCCACACTGAGAATATTATTTTTGTGTAACGATTTATATGTAGCACATTTCTATCCTATTCTAACACTGATTTACCTTTAACACAGTATGGAAGATGTAAATACTTTTTGCCTTTCTTTGCAGCTTGTTCTATATTGTAGCCAGGACTGGGTGCATTGGATAATTTTAATACTCTTGCAAATCTGTAAATGATAGAAAAATTTGCTCATTTGTATTTTAATATTTATAATATACTAGCTGGCAAGGCAGACGTTGTTCTGTCCTTTCTGACGATCATTCCTATGAAAATATTCTTAAATACACAATAAAAAAATATTGAAGGAAAACTTATCGGGATAAAAAGTATCCTATCTTTCAAGTTGGACCAAACTGCACACAGTGTGCAAAATTTCATTGAAATCAGGTCAATAGTTTAGGAGTTCATTGCGGACAAACAATGTGACACATAATTTTTATATATAAAGATTTGCCTGAAGTGTTTAAAAAACACAATATAATATGGTGTCGAATTAACTCATGTTTAGTAATGATGATACTTCAATAACATTTGATTGACATCTTATACAGTGCTTGATACATATTTATTTACCCTCTGAAATTATCATATTACTATGTCAAATAGGTTTAGATAAAATTGCCTGTGACAGTCTTATACTAGCTGAAGTAATATTATATGTTTTGTTTTACAAATTTTAGCAAGGAAAACTTGAAATGAGATAAACATAGTATTATAACATGATGCTGATAATATGACCTTTTGAATTAGTCCGAAATACTCGAGGTATGTTACAATCACAATAGTATATTATGTAAATGCTATAAGTGTGGGCTAAAGATGCACCTGTCGAAACCTCGGGTATGTTGACTGATGTAACTATAATGTGATTTAAATTTCTCATGTGGCAAAGGACCATGTTTCACTTTTGTTGCAGTCATGCTAATAAAGTTTAATTTAAATAATCTATACATATAAATGAAATTGAAGTGTCTGTCGGTAATGTTGAAGTAACTGGCGTCTATCGAGCTCAAGAGGTTATTTGAATGCAATTCACGGAACTTTACGGCTCCGTGGCGCAGTGGCTTAGCAATGAGTTGTTGTGCTGTGGGGCCGCGGGTTCGAATCCCGCATGGAACAAGAATTAGTATGACCTACAAATAATTGTTCCGGGTCTGGATGTTTGTCCTTGTGCAATTTATGTTTGTAAACTGCCTCCACGACACAGGAGAAAATCCTAGTGAGGGGGTAACGTTTTTTAAAAAAAGAAAAAAAAATTAAGACATAAATAACCATTTAGATTACCATAAATCTAAATAACGCCACATTAATAGATCCTAGCAAAGTGAAGCCAGGGCAGGTCGCTAATATATAATAAAGAGATAGTTTTATTTAAATACAATAAAATTTTACCTATCTAAACAGTTGCCAACCGCAATGTCAATAGTCTCGCCGAATATCCGATACCTTTGCCGAGAATATGCAATAACCTGTGTATTGCCACCACTCACATACAGAACAGTAGGATTTTTTGCATTCGTGATCAGTCTGCCCATTTCTATATCTAGTTTTTGTTTTGTTAGTGAAACTCTATGAATGGTTCAAGATAAATTTGTTTTATAAAGGAGTCAAGATAACCCCTGGTACTGTTAAATTCATTAATGTATTAGCAATTAGCAATGACAAGGTTTTAAAAGTTGAGTGACAAGCAAGCACACAGTCCACCTGAGGGTAAGTGGATGCTGTGGCTGATAGACATAAATCTATCTTCGATTAAAAATCAAAATATAGATGCGTGTATGATTTACTCAGCTCATTGTTATTAACTTTTTTTTATAATGATATCTTATGTTTAGGGGAACACTACACACATTAAAATAAAACTAGTTTTTATGGATTTTATTGTGCATATTAACTTATTTTATGTTCCCGTTGTTTCGAGTACTTTACAGTACCCATGGTCACAGAGGGGACTGAGGCGTTCAACGTCCCAATTTTATAGTAAACAGATTAAAATTATTAGAACGGACCAAAAATAAAACTAGTTTAATTTAAACTTCTTTTTATAGAAAAAGAGTGACAAAGGAATACACAGTCTCACTGATGATCATCTACACCTATTCTCGGTTAAAATCAAAATGCAAATGTGTAGTCACCGCTGAGAACAAAGATAGAATGCATCGTTTCCACTAAAAAGACCCTACGGATCTCTAAATTCACCATACAAAACAGCAATATTAAGCTGCTATTTTACAAAGATATTCTGTGAGAGTGTGGTCCTTCCCGTGATTGTTTATGATGTCTATGTATAAAGTTTTTGAAAAGGATACGTCCAATGCAATGATTGACCCCCAGGATTGGTTTATCCCATAACTTGGCGCAGGTTCTGGCTACAATTGCACACACCATTAACGGCGCCCCCATCCCGGGACCTTTGGTATAGCACACCACATCTATATCCTTGGGAGATAAGCCAGACTGGTCCAGTGCTTCTCTTAAGACCTCATGGATATTTTCTTGATGATGCTCTGCTGTCTCACGCGGTAGGAATCCTTGAAATTTTAAGATGTACCCATTTGTATTTATTAAAAGAAAAACACAAAGAAACGAAATATCCCATCTGCATATGCCTTTGAACTGTCCACTGCTAGATAAAAGATTCTCACATAGAGTAACTTAAAGTAGGAGGCAAAGGATTGGCCACATTAACCATCTTGCACCTGTATAACTACAACCCATCACACTGGGTATTTTACATCTGATAAAACATATTGTTGGAAACCATTTAGTATGGTATCTACAAATCATCATCATCATTACACCCTATCAATGCCCACAGCTCAACATGAGCTCCCCAAATATTGCCTCTTAAGGATACTTGCCATAGTTTCTAGGCTTAGCAGGGGATTGGCAACCACGATTTTTAAATTTTCTAGTTTTTATGAAGACTGCTGTCCATCTTCTGGTTTGTTTCCCTATTTCACCTCCCACCCACGGGACCATATGGGGTAGTGGATATTCTATAGAGCCGTATTTTTTCATATATTGCACCTAACCTTCTCCTGGAGGTGTAATGTACGTTCGTCTACAATTAGCAAGTATTTCTCCATTTTTAACAATACCAATCCCAAGTTTATTAGCGCTTCCTTCAAACCCAATTGCTATAACCATTGTTTGTTTTAATTAATAAAAGGTATGTTTACAAACTAAAACAAGTAAATCAAGGTAAAAGCAGAAAGGAAGCAAAACAAAATGTCAAATTGCTGACAGTTGACTTGGATCTTGGACTAGGCTTGGGCAAAAAATATCGATATATATCTTCGATATTTTAAATTGCAATATATCGATATTTATTTTAGAGTATCGAATTGGCATCAATTTCAATATATTTGAAAATGTTGTAGTATTGACAAAACATGTAACATCTATGTAAGTATTCATGTGTGGTTGGTTCTCGTTTTTTTTTCGTGGTCCAACCTTATCTTTACATCATGCAAATGATAACGATATATCGGTATATCGTTACTGTTTAAAATATCGATTCGATATATTTTGTTCCCTTGCCCATCCCAATCAATGACTTGACAAATAACTGACAACTAGAGTTGAAGCGCGTATACTAGAACAGATCTAGGCACTAGGTATTAAACGAGACTAGGCTAGCTTGCACCTGTTCCAACTTTTAAAATACTTGATCCACCTAGTCTCACTGTGCCTAGGCGTCGCACGGCACCGTCGCGGTGGTCCGCTTGAATCGAAGAAGTAGAAGTACCAGCGCGGCAAAGCGAGATAGCATTTGTTGCCGTGGTTACTAGTCTGCATTGCTGCTCACTCGTGTTTGCCTAAATCATTCGTGTGTCAGTCATTTGAATTTGAACTATATTTAAATGCGTATAAAAGTACCATGACGCGCAGTCGTGTTGTGCAAGAATATATTCTGACCTTTTTTAACTACACTATTCCGCAGTCTTTCTATTTTAGTCTGTCAATACGAGAATAGTCGGGACTAGTCCCGGGGACTTCAATTAAATACTAGGTAGATTTTATACATTAGGTACTTGTAAATACTCGATGCGAATGGAGACCATATGATGCAATCGAGTGTCTAGTACTGACTTATGCGGCGAATGTGATCTTGGCTTATTTAGCAATAGGTTTTCGTAACGATGTTTTAATATGTGGTTAAAGAATTTTCGATTTATTTTTTATTTAAACATTAGTGTTTATTGTTTAAAAAATGCAGTAGTGTCGCTTGGGATCATTTTACAGACAACAGCCAACAAAAACAAATGTCTGAGTGCAACATTTGTAAAATATAATTTAGTTTTAAAAACTCTTAAGACTGATTGTTTGCGCGTATTTAAAAAACAATGATTGATAGGCAATTAAAAAAACGAAACAAAAATAATTAAAAAAAATAAACGAAAAAAGACAAAAATCGGATTACTCTTAAATAAAAAATGAATTGAAATATTTTAAATACGCCAATAATCTAGAACGTAGATAAATCTTAACATTGACAGTTCTAAGCATGTGTACATAGGCTGCACTAAAAGTATCGGGAATGGAATATTTCCACTGTTCCTGTCATATTAAAATCTTTTTAATTGAAAAGTCCTTGGTTTTTTAAAATTGAATACCATTTATTTATTTAAAAAAAGATTCTTGGTCTTGTCACAAGGTTTTGTCAAACTTGTTTAGTCGTTGAGAAAATGGAATTGACTCGAGAAAATTCAAGAGCGATGATTTATTTTGACTTTCGAAGTGGTTTAACACAAAAAACGTGTGTTGACCGGATGATTTCTGCATTTGGTGATGAAGCCCCATCCAAAACCACAATTTATCGCTGTTTGCTGAATTTCAACATGGACGTGTCAAGCTCAGTGATGATCCCCATCAAGATCGTCCAAAAACTGCAGTCACCCAAGAAAACGTTGATGCTGTGCGTAAGCTGAGGGAGATCGATATGTGACATACCGCGAAATTCAGGCAACTTTTTACATGTGTAAAAAGTTGTTTTCCCGATGGATACCGCATTCGCTCTGTGAAGAGCAAAATGCGGCTAGCGTTACTTGGTGCGTCAGAACTCTCGAAAGATTCCACGCAGAATCCTCAAATTCTGTATACAACATACGAACCCGAAACAAAAAACCAGTCACGAGTTTGGGTGCTCGAAAATGAGTTAAAGCCAACAAAAATTGTTCGTTCACGGAGGGTTGCAAAAAAAAAATGGTGGCCACGTTTGTCTCCAAAACCGGCCATGTTACGACTATTCCTCTTGAGGGACAAAGAACGGTTAATGCAGAATGGTATGCTAGCATTTGTTTGCTACAGGTCGTTTCTGAACTCCGTAAAGAGAACTGCAACCGCCACATCATCCTCCATCACGACAATGTGAGTTCTCACACCGCACACAGAACAAAAGAGTTTTTAGAGCAAGAAAACATAGAATTATTAGACCATCCGCCGTACAGCCCCGACCTAAGCCCTGATTATTTCTATACTTTCCCTAATATAAAGAATAAATTGCGTGGACAGAGATTTTCGTCACCTGAAGAAGCTGTGGACGCCTACAAAACGGCCATTTTGGAGACCCCAACTTCCGAATGGAATGGTTGCTTCAATAATTGGTTCCATCGTATGGAAAAATGTGTCAAATTTCGCGGAGAATACTTCGAAAAGAAATAAATACATTTTTAAATAGTAATGTTGTGTCACTTCCTTGATTCCCGAAATTTTCAGTGCCGCCCTCGTAAAGTATGAATGGATGATTGATTACTATTCATTACTTTCACGCATCGGCTGTACGTAAAGACTAAGCAAACTTTAAAGTGTAAGCCATTCCAACAATACCAAACTATATACGTACTTCATGGACTAGGTGGAACAAGTATTTGGATCGAGTATTTGTACGGAATTGCACCTAGTACAAAATTTAACTAGTACGACTCATCTCTACTGACAACTCGAACTTGACATTGGATTATCGGTTTTTATTGTTATTGGCATTAAATCAGGCAAGGGTCTTAAAACATTTAGACTTGTAGTTTCGTTTCACTCACGGTACCGAACGTGTTTTTCACGGCGACGGCGGCATGACGCGGCGCGGTCCTTGGTATATAGTTGGTACTGGATTAACGACCAACGGACTTGAGAAAATTTAACGGAAGTTAACGAGTCAGTTAACATTTTTTAAAGTTAATTCGTTAGTCGAAATGTTAACTTCGTTAATTCAGGATTAACGGATTAACTAGTTAATGCCCAGCAATGTGTACATTGTCTTGTCAAACATAATAAAGATACTTCACTTGTTATATCGGCAATAATGTTAAATTTCTAAGTATATCAACATAACCTATGAAATGAGATTTTACAAAACTTCTGAATGATGATCATACATAAAAGTTTGTAAATAAATAATTCTTACGTGGTACTGCTCTTTTCACATTTTTATGATCCGCAGCATAGTAATCAACGTTATTCTTAAAGAAATCTGCAACCATAAATCCTAGGTAGGTTGCTGTTATCGGTTCGCACAAAATTTGACTCTATTTTGAGATTAAAAACGAATATTTATGCTACTAGTTATAAGATTGATTAAAAATTGTTTCAGAAATAGCTACAAGATAGAATATAGCATCCAAAAACATAGAACGCGAACTATAATCAGTGAAGGCACCTATGGTTTCTCGTGTGTGTCGTCAATATATTTGCAATCATAGCGCATACCCGTCACAGATAAAATTTCAAAAATATTATGTTTTATTTTCGTTTATTTTACATAAAACATAAATACTTTAGTTTAAAATAGAATGAAATATATTTTAACAGTTAATGCCTTGTACAAGGCAACACCAGCTACCACTAGCGCCTTCTAGTATCAAGTAGCAAAACTAGGAGAGTCAAGATACTTCTAGAAATTTCCATGGAAGAACTTTCTATAACTATCGACACCTAGTCTGTCGGGACCGGTATGTACTCGAACATTCTAGATATTTCTACAGTAGAAGGTTCTGGAATTATCTGAGGCCCCCCATTGTGATTTTCTTAGTGTTGTTTTAAGAAGTAATTCATCATCATCATCATTACAGCCCTTCACAAGTCCACTGCTGAATATAGGCCTCCCCCAAGGAATGCCACAAAGCACGGTCCTGAGTCACCTGCATCCATCAACTTCCTGCATGTCTCACCAGGTCGTCACTCCATTTAGTGGGGGGTCGCCCTACACTTCGCCTACCGGTACGAGGCTGCCACTAGAGAACCTTTCTTCCCCATCGGTTGTCGGTTCTTCGAGCTATATGGCCGGCCCACTGCCACTTCAGCTTACTAATCCGTTGGGCTATGTCGGTTACTCTGGTTCTACTGCGGTTATCCTCATTTCAAAGTTTATCACGCAGAGACACCCCGAGAACAGCCCTCTCCATAGCTCGCTGATCGACCTTGAGCTTCCTCATACGGCCAGCAGTGAAGGACCACGTCTCAGATCTGTAAGTCATCACTGGCAACACGCACTGGTTGTACAATTTCGTTTTCAGGTTTTGAGGTATGTCTAATGAGAACATGTGTCGTAGTTTCCCGAACACTGCCCAGCCGAGTTGAATCTGTCGATTGACCTTTCGGTCGAAGTTGGACTTACCTAGTCGGACTATTTGTCCCAGGCAAACATACTGGTCAACAACTTCGAGCTTAGTGCTTCCAACAACTACCTACTAAGTGTGACATGGATGTTAAACATGATTTTTGTTTTGTCCATGTTCATCTTAAGACCTATCCGTTGGGAGACACTACTGAGATCGTTGAGCATAGTGCTTAGGTCCTCCAGCGATTCTGCCATAAGCACTATGTCGTCGGCAAATCGAAGGTGAGTGATGTACTCGCCATTGATGTTAATACCGTTCCTTTCAAGGCCAGTAGCTTGAAAACGTCTTCCAATGCAGCGGTGAATAAATTCGGGGATATAACGTCTCCCTGTCTTACACCTCTCTGCAGTTGGATAGGTGTCGTACTCTGATTCTGTACTCGGACAGCCATCGTAGCTCTACTGTACAAACACTTCACCACTTCGATATACCGACAGTCAACTTGGCACCGCTGAAGGGACTGCAGCACCGCCCAAATTTCGACGGAATCAAAGGCTTTCTCATAGTCCACATATGCCAGACGTAGTGGCAAATTGTACTCTTCGGACTTCTGTACAATTTTACGAAGGGTGTATATGTGGTCTATGGTGCTAAAGCCCTTTCGGAAACCGGCTTGTTCGGGAGGCTGGAAGTCGTCAAGTCTGTGCGCGAGACGATTCGTAATGACTCTCGAAAACAGCACGTAGACGCGGCTCAGAAGGGAAATCGGTCTGTAGTTCTTCAAGAGAGCGTTGTCACCTTTCTTGAAGAACAAGACCACCGCACTTCTGCTCCACGCCTCCGGTGTAATGCCACCATGGAGGACGGAATTAAAGAGCTTCTGAAGGACTTCAAGTACCGGTCTTCCACCCGCTTTCAGAAGCTCCGCTGTAATTCCATCCTCGCCTGGGGCCTTGCCGTTTTTAAGGTGCTGGAGAGCCATACTAATCTCGCTCAGACTGACTTCCGGGATATCTTCGGAATAGTGTCGGATAAGACTCGCTCTTGGATCGTTACTCACACTTGCGTGTGGCTCCAACGATGACGTGTACAGCTGCCCATAGAACCTCTCAATCTCACTCAAAATCTCAGGTGTGCCGGAAACGATGCTGCCACATTCGGTCTTCAGCTTTGACAGTTGGCTCTTTCTGGCAGACAGATCTCGTGCAAAGACTGGAGCCTTGGTTTCGCTCGATCGCTTCTTCAATATAAGCTGTATTGAAATTGCGTAAGTCCCGCCGCATGCAATTGGAGATTTGTCTGTTCAGTTGCATGTATGCTGACAAATCTGTTGAAGAATGTAGCTTCATCTCCCGTCTAACAGCCATGAGATTAAGAGTGTGATCGGAGAGTTTTTGTGTTCTTCTACGGCGAGTCTTGCAGAACTTAGCTCCGACCGCATGGACAGTTTCCACGAGCTTATCATTCATATTGTCCACTTCATTGCAGTCTTCTAGGCACTGAAAACGGTTTTGTAACTCGAGATGAAAGGTTTCGGGACTTTGGAACAGAGCACGAGGGGGACGGAGCGTTGACTTCATTAGATGAGACCTCTCCAACTTAACGTTTAGGTTCAGTGTGCCTCTAACCATTCGGTGATCGCTACCAGTTTTCACCCTCGCGACAACCGAGACATCACTGAACAGTTGTCGTCTGGTCGTCACAATAATAATAATAATAATAAATAAATAAATTTTATTTCGTTTTTAAAAAGTAAATGCCTTAAAAACTAGTAGATTGGAACCTCCATTTAAGCAAATAATGTCTGTGTTTGGAGGGTCCGCCCTTCCATTACTATATCCATGTTACAAGGCAGTATGGATAAACATATTCTATATCCATATTAATGTTATATATTACTTAAATTCTGTATTAATTCTATTCTTAGTTTATTTATTTATGTATACATGTGTGTTTGTGTGTGTGTGTGTGTGTGGGTGTGTGTGTTTGTGTCTATGCTTGCGTGAGTTAAAAAGAGTATGTGTGATTACAGTGTCTGAATCTGAACAAATCATGCTACACAATCCAGTAGCTTCTCAATTTCGTCATATGTCTTATGATGAATCCATTCTAACAAAACTTTTTTAGTTGTGATATGTTTTGTCGTATATATAAATATCTTTGTTTATTTTATTATAAAGAAAGACAGAACGCGATATACATTGTCTGCTTGCAAATGTGGTTTTAGTTCTGTATGTCTGGGCAACCATGTTTCTACGTCGTTTATTTAAATGGCATGGATCATAAGACAATGATTTGTGAGTTTTGAGGGTTGTCCAGAATATATACAACTTCCTGACAGAGAGTAAACCGCTGATACGAAATAGAAGATCGGTAGAAAAGCGTATCTTCTTAAAGTACATAACTTTAATAAGAGAAAGCTGCGCCCTCTCTAACTCCAGAAATCGAGTTTTTGCTGCACCACCCCAGACAGGAATATAGTGATCAAGGTGTAGGTACCATGATAGTCTTTGGTCTACAATTACTCCCAGATATTTTGTCTGAACTACCTTATCGATCCTAGGGCAGTTACAGGTGTTTTTATTAGTATCCGTTGTACATTCATGAATTTTTAAATTGTAGTCGGCCTGAGGTTGCGAGTTGTTGTTAGTACCAAAACATATATAGTTGATTTTAAAAGTATTTAGGGTCAGGAGGTTGTGTTTCAGCCACTGAGCGATTCGCAACAGACCAGCCTCAGCACTAGCACCTCCCAAGAATCACCGGCAAATACTGCAGCCGTATCATCAGCGTATGACAAAACTCTGGCGTTATAGATCCTCATGCTACATAGGTCGTTGATGTAGATGAGAAAGAGGGTGGGTCCTAAAACGCTGCCCTGCGGCACGCCACACGTCACTTCAACAGCTTCACTAGTGCAACCATTTAGTTTTACTCTTTGTTTCCTGTCAGTTAAGTAACTCTGAAAAAGGGCAAGCGGAGTCCCCCTTACTCCCATATCTTCAAGTTCATGCACAAGGATGGGGCATAGACACAGTATCAAAAGCTTTTTTCAGATCGAGGAAAACCGACAGACACTTTTTACTGTTGTCAAGTTGCCTAGTTACAAAAGAGCTTAACTCCGTGATTGCATCTTCTGTCGATTTTCCCCGCCTGAAACCAAATTGTGAAGATGATAATTTGTTAAATTTATTTAAGTAATTTAGTAGTCTAGTATTAAGTAGTTTCTCTAAGATTTTAGATATTGCTGGCAGAACCAATGAAGTCAATCTCATTTTTTGTCGAACGGTCGGGGCTCGACCAGGTCCACTTCCTGTGGGGCCGCTTCTGGAAGAAAGAGTTCACCATAAAGAGTCCCTCTTTCTCCATGAAGTCGGGCAGCTGCTGGCCGCTTGGGTTCCGTTGCCCTATTCCAAATTTCCCTACTTTCAGCTCACCGTTCTCTCTTGTGCCTAGTTTTACATTGAAGTCTCCCATTAACACCGTATTGGTGGAGGTTTTGGAGGAATGCATGGCTCTAGAGATATCCTTATACATTTCCTTCACCTCCCCATCGGGATGTGCCGAGGTTGGTGTGTAAACCTATATGACCTTCAGCGAATACCGTTTGGTGATTCTGAGTATAAGGTACGCAACCCTCGTCGACACACTCCCAATCTTTACAACGTTGTTAACGAAAGACTTGTGGAGGATAAATCCGACACCTCCTTGGGACAGATGGTCCCGGTGATAGAGCAAGTTGCCGGATTCGAGGATTACCGTGTCCTCCCCCTCTCTTCGGACCTCGAATAATCCTATAATATGCCAGCGTAACTTGTCTATCTCTTCTTCCAGCTCCACGATCTTCTCGTCAGTCCTCAGGGTGCGTGCGTTGTATGTTGCCAGGTCGAGTCGTCTTAGGTGGCAACCGAACCTCCACCGGAGATTCTTAGCACCCCCTGCACCGCCGTTACCATGGTCGCCACCGTAGCCAGGAATAGCGGGGCCGCCGGGGACTGGGGGCCGTCTTTTTGTTGCTCTAATCATTACCCCCCATTTGCCATATTTGCCACACTTGCCTACCTTTCGTTACTGATTATTATTTTTGTGATTTCAGCGGAATATGACAGTCTACTGTCATACCTTTCGGTAGAGAATAACAGTATTCTAGCTTCAAACATGCTGTGTTGAGTAGTGATAAATATTTCAAATTTATTATAACCGCTGTTCTTATTTTACGTGCATTGGCTTCGCACCCAAAATTTTACGGAGGTTGAGTATTAATGCTGATTGTAGTAAGTTCAGGTTAGTTTACAATTAAACGTCAACAAGCTGAATTCAACTAGGTAATTAAATACTCGGTGAACGAATATTAACGGTTTACTTACGGTTACGGAAAAACCGTCAACGACTAATTGCTAACTGGAAAGACAGCGGGAGCGGCACATGCGTGCGCCTGCGAAGGTATATCAGTGGTGAATGGCGGGTGCGGCCTGTCCTTAAATCGATAGAATCGCGCCACGAATTCCCTTATAATTTCCAAGCGTAATGTAGGGTATGATTTGCATTTCGATATTTTATCAACTTTTTATTTGTTTTTAAATTTCCGTCCTTCTTGTTTTAGTATGAACTACGTAGTAAGTATTTATTGATGGATCAATTTCATACTTTAATAAATTTGTAAAATAACTGTTCTACTGGCTTCTACGGAGTTCAGCATTTCCGATCTTTTATATTATGAACGGTAAAAAGTCAACCTGTATATTTATTTCAATGTTTTATATAAATATAAAATATAAATATTTGGAATTGAAAAGCAAATATCATTTATTCTTGGCACAATATCCATTAGCTTAATACTAAAAAAAATGAACAAAATATAGATGCTTAAACATTTTGTTCGTTGACTTCATCTACAAAATCGGCCATCATGTCTGCGATAGAAATGTCATCAGATTTAGATAATTTATCTGAATTGTTAACTGGTACTATGGTGTCTTGCTCGTTTACATCACCATTAGAAACAACATCTTTTGTGTCTATTCCATTAACTTTCATTTCAATATCAGGCAATTTTCCTTCATTTTCCTTAGGTTTATTTTCTAAATCGATTTCTTGAGATGTTACAACGGCTTGCCCGCAAGTTATTTGGACATCATCAGTATCATTTGTACTTGGAAGATTTTCGTCGTCCATCTTTTCTAAGACTGTAACCTTTTCAGTTCCCGTGTTTGGATAGTCATAAGTAACTTCCATGGATAAGGATCTTTCCTCTTCATCGATTTCATCATGTGATGTGCTCAGTGGTATTTGCGTTTTTGCTTCATATATTGTTTCTTTCTCAGATTCTGCACTTTCTTCACTTTTCTCTGTTTTTTCTGTGATAATCGATTCTGTTCTTCCTATTTCTCTTTCACCTACATCTCCATCAACTTTCTCTATAACTAGTTCCTTGATATTTGTTACTTCATTGTCATAAGCATTTTTGTTAGAATCTACCTCTTCAGGTTCAGCTTCGTTAGAATGTACCTCTTCAGGTTCAGCTTCTTTAGAATGTACCTCTTCAGGTTCAGCTTCTTTAGAATGTACCTCTTCAGGGTCTGCTTCGTTAGAATCTACCTCTTTAGGTTCTGCTTCGTTAGAATCTGTCTCTTCAGGTTCTAATTCGTTAGTAATTTCCTTTTCTTGTTCTAGCTCCTTTGGTGCTTCACTATCTTGAGCTTCAGTTACCTCATCAGAAATTTCAACGGAACACACAGATTCGCTGCTTAAACTTATTTTATCTGATGAATCATCTAGGCGTGGTTTTTTACTTAATGGTTCATCGGGAATTGTTATTACTTCTTCGTTAACTCGTACAGGCATTCTGCAAAAAATAGTAATGGTAGCAGTTTAAACGGAACAGTTAATAAACATAGAAAAAGCTTAAGAACCATTAATGTCGTTTTCTTTTAAAGAAAGTCACTCTATGTAAAACAATATATTTTTTATCCCCTCGTATCTACCATATTCATTATTATCAAATTTCAAAAATTTATTATAATGATTATAAAAAAAAAATCATACCTGTCAGGCCCTAAAAGTTTTTCTAATGCTGCTCTATTTCTGTCCGATATCCTCTTTTGCTTTTCTATTATCTTTTCCTTCTCTGGGCGTATTTCTAATGCAAAGTTAAGTGAAGGCGGCGAACAGTGTAAGTGTAACCTTATGTCTAGTAGTGCTTGAGAGCAGAATTTCGATATCTGAAAATATACATGAAAATCTTTAAAATAAGGGTGGCAAACGAGCACAAAGTCCGCCTGATGGTAAGTGGATGCCGTGTCACATAGACATGTAAATTTAAGCACGATTAAGAATCAAAACGCAGATGCGTTTTCACCTCTGAGGACTAAGATGAAATGCCTCGTTTCTAGTCAAAGAGATCTGCGGTTCTAAACACTCACCATACGAAACACAGCAACATTCAGCTGCTAGTTTACGCTGGTATTCTGTGAGAGCGTGGACCTACCCCGGCCGAACCGACCCATGTGTGGTCCTAAGACGTTTAAAAAGTAAGTAGGTAGTGATGGAGAAAGTTCCGAACGGCTTGACCAATTGAGGTCATATTTACAATATACATATGTTTTGTTGGGTTGATGTTCTTAGGTGTGCTGGAATTCGATTGGTGGCATGGATCAAAATAACTTATATTCACAGTATATTCTAATGATTTAGAATGTGGTATAGTTATTAATTTTTTTTTTACACTGTAAAAAGTTCTCAGTGAATTCGGAGTAAAACTCATCGCGCTAGCTACCATAAAGAGCAGAACTATGTCTACGGGGCCAGCTAGTTACATTTTTTCGACTCAAACAACAAATAAATTATTTAATAATTTTATGGATAGTTAACATCCACGAAAACATTAAATAGCAATTTACAATATGACTGTAAAATTTGCGATATATTAAGTGGCAAAATAAATGAGTATCTGTAATGTTCTCGACGTTATTTTTCATAGGAACTGAAGCTAACAAAGCAAAATTTTTATGTCGTTAATCAAAATTATAATTTCGAACGTCGAAAAATAAAGACAATTTAATTTAATGTAATGAAGCGTATGCTAAAGCAAACCGTTGCGAATGTATTTTACGTGAGTGATCGTAAATAATAAAATAAGAACCATGCATTGATAAAATATTAATAAATTATATGATATGCACTGATTTTTAAAATTTTACCCCTCAAAATAGTAAAAATAAAAAAAAACATTAAAGTGAAAACAAACCTCTCTGCACTGATTGTTCGAAAGCACACTATATAAATGGAGACAATATTGTGTCGGCGGTGGTACAGTGGACGGCGTAGTCTTTCTGGAGGCTTCTAGTACACGCAACAAGGACAAAATGTACGCATCTGAATACGTGTTAGAGTTGTAGCACTCTCGTACGAAATGATCCTGAAACACCTGTTAGTGGACAAATATAAAAATTAACAATTGTCATTTATCAACCATTTTTAAATACGATTAAAATGATAACTAGCTTTATTTAATTGAATAATCTAAACACTAATTATTATAAAGTTAATTTATGAAAGGCACCTGACAAAACAATTTTATCCATCAAGTTATTTTAATTTGGCGCCTTTTTAACGCTTGACAGTGATAATGCCAAGGTTTTTTTTTAAATCCAACTTTTTTTGAAGTAAAGAATATGATGTTACTTTTACAGCCTATGTAAATTTGATTCTGATCTAATAAGTTAGAAATCTATACAAATAAATAAAATTGAAATGTCTGTTTGTAATGTCAAAATTATAGTTTTTTACTAAATGCATAATATGAAAGTAAATACGGTACCTATAACTAAAATACAATTTTTAAAATTTTTGTCTGTCTGTTTGTTCCGAAACGGCTGGACCGATTTTGACGGGACTTTCACTAACATATAGCTAATTTCATAAGGAGTAATTAGGAGTAACATAAAAACCCTAACACGCGAGCGAAGTCGCGGGAACAGCTATCTCGGAAACGGCTGGACAGATTTTGACGGGACTTTCACTGGCAAATAGCTGGTATTATAAGGAGTAACTTTGGCTACTTTTATTTTAGAAAAGTAGTTAGGATTCCGCGCAAAAAAAATTAAAAGCTATAAAATTCAAGTAACAAATTCCACGCGGGCGAAGTCGCGAGGAACAGCTAGTCTTAAATAAAATCAAAATATATTAGTCGATTTTCAGAAAATATTTAGAATTTGTTTAATCTACTTTTTATCATCTTACGTAATCATGTTATAAATTGCGTTACAACTTATTTCAGTATGGACTTTGAAATTTAACAGGGACAGGAAAAGGGCAGCATTATCTTCCCGATAATTCAAATTACATATTAAAAAATCTACAGTTACAGGTTGGCGCCAAGCGTGTAAGCTATAGTATAGTAATGACCGGCGGTTGTTTTGATAAGCTGTAATGTGTGAAACGAATATAATTTTTATTTTCATAAATACCTTATGCGTTGTTGGCTTTAAGAATACTCCGCATACTGTCAGGAAAACCTCTGCACATTCTAAAGCTGACATTGCAACTTCATTATCAGTTTCTAGTTGCCTAAAATATGAAAGAAGCCTTTAAATATTATTAATATTAAATATTAAACATGCAATATTAAGAAAGTAATGATTTAAATATGTTATTAAATAATAAGAGATATGATAATAGTTTGCCTCATGGACGTGTTTGATTCAAAAGGTTTGATTTTCGCACAGGACAAATATTTTAAAGTCAAGATATACATTTTTTAATTGAGTCAACATTTATTTTAAGCTGTTAGGAATGCCTATAAAGAATTGTTTTGTATATGTTCATGAGTAATTCAAGTTTTAAGCACCTCTATGTCACAGTGCAGAATGGATAAACCTGAACCCATTGTTGCACTCCCCTTTAGGTACGTAAGGACAGTGGTTCTTTCTGGGTTACCCACTCTGATTGCAGGCAAGCTTGGTAAGCTCCTATTACCTTACCTAACTATTCCTACTGGCTAACCAAACTGTTAACATATTGGAGACTGAGTGAAATGGAAGAGGAGTTTTGAGGAAGCCTAGACCCACGGTATGGGTTGTAGCGTCGCAGGATGATGATGAGGATGATGATGATGATGACGTTAACCAATAGGTATTCAGACTAAAAAAACATCTAATAAGACTGGACACTAGTGCTATAATAGGATACGGCTATTTTAATTAACATCTCTAGATGTCAGACAGCTCTCCGTGCAGAGCCTGCATGGGTTTGAATAGTGGAAAATGTGGGTTACATTCTATTTGAGAGTCCAGCGGTTAATAGCTCCAAAGCTAAGTTCCTCGGATCAACACTGTCGCTCTCTGAGGTCATTTTTAACATTAATAATAATAATAATAATAAGCTTTATTGATAATTATACAGTGAATATGTGAAGTCTCTGATTGCTGAACTAGGAATTATACCTGTATCTCAGCAATCAGTGCCCTCTCCCAATTTTATGTCTTAATAAATTAACAATAAAGGTTCAAAATAACAAGAATGTTTGAAAAGGTATAAAAAATAATATACTACTTAATTTATGTACTAAGTGTGTGTTGAGTGTGTTAACGTTCGTTTGTGCGTGTGCGCGTGTGTGTATGTGTGGGTGTGTGTGTATGTGTGTATGCGTGTGTGTATCAGCAAGCGTATTTTTGCGTTTGTATATGCGTGTGTTTTACATGTACTTATAAATAAAGGAAATAACAGGATTCAACTAGCGGATTATATTATAACATTAAACAAGTCCTCCGTTTCTTCATAATTTAATGATAAAAGCCATTTTTCTACCTTCTTTTTAAATTTGTAAAGTGGAAGTGGATAAAAGTTAAGGATTTTGTTTATTTTGTTATACAAATGTACACTAAGGTAACCATGTTGGCGCCTGAACATTATAAAATTACTGCTCGAATGGCTTGAATAGTTTATAATTCCTATCCACACGCAAAATACGCGCTTAGACGTAAAATTGCCTAATCAATCAATCGGTAGACTCTTGATTGACTGTAATGATGATGATGTAATAATGATGAGATCACAGTAGAACTTACTACAATGGAAATAATTTTCTTTTTAAAAAGTTTATACTTTTGTGTTAACTTAATTTTTTTTTATATTCCAATTCCAATTATTCAAGTGCATTTGCAGCACCCATGAACACGGAGGGTAATGAGATATTCAACATTCTGATTTCATAGTTAACCTTGGCTACCTCCACCTTTTAAATATTAATTTTGGTCTGATCTATGCAGAATAAGCTCAGTATCATGAAGTCTTGCTAGGTGGTTGAATATAGGTGTAATTGTTTTTAAACCCGTTTAGTGGCAGGGTACCCGATATCGTCTCGTTGATGTCGTAAGAGGCGACAGAGGGAAACAAACCAAGAGTAGGGCAGCCGCTTGGCAACTATGGAAAATATATCTCTTATGAGGCAGTCTATGAAATAAATTAGTGAAATCTTTTATACAAACTGCTCTGCGGTCTTAGTACGTTGCACACAAAGTGACGATCAGTTATCCGTAACTACTTTAGTCAACTGCGAGCAGGCGAGAATATTAATTCTTTATCTTTTCTTTGTTCTTTGAATTTTGTTTTGTGACTAAGAAAACGCCTATCACTATTTATGAGAACACTTTATCAACACGATTTGATTTTTATTTAAGATAAGTATGTAACTTTATTTAGTGTTTGTCTAAAAACAGAAACTGTCGTAAATGAAAAAACAATCCGCCCAAGTTTTCTACCGACTTCAAAAAGGAGACGGTACTCAATTCGACTGTTTTTTTTTATTTGTGTCACCTCATAACTCTTTTATGGGTGAACCGATTTCGATGATTCTTTTTTTTATTTGAAAGCTGGTGCTTCTCATGTGGTCCCATATAAATTTGATCAAGGTTGGATCAATAGTTTTTGAGTTATTCAGAATAATTTATATTGAAGTCGGTTGTAAAAAAAATTTAATTTTTAATTATTGTTCTGAATTGTATACATCGAAGTCTTTGCTTTTATATATTTTATTGATTATAAAATTCCAAGCACACAGCATTGAAATAAGGATGTTATAAAGTTAAGTGAATCGAACACTATTTTGAATAATTCCTGGGCAAAAAAAGTAAAATAAAATCCAAAGTGCATGGTATAAATGAAAATGGAATCTTTACTTACACAGTAACTTTATTTTTCTCACCAGGCATGTGTGCAGCGATGGTGCTTTCTTTTAACATTGTATTTTGTAGCTTCCTCCTTGCCTTTTTGCTAAGATTTTTCATGGACTGACTGCTCATCTGTCATCAAAAATAAATTAATTATAAGTATCAGAAATTATATACAACCACTTCCCTTTCTATTTTATTATGGGTCATCATAAGGCAAGGCATGCCTTATTAAATATTTATTATATTTCCAACATACAGAGTAGTTTTTACAACGTGGTAGATCCATGCTGCAGCTATATTACTAGTATAGCTGTAGCACGAATGGATCGGCTCGACCGGGGAAGGACACGCTCTCACAGAATACCAGCTTAAAATAGCAGCTTAACACTGCTGTGTTTTGTGAGTGTAGAGAACCGGAGACCCATTTTACTGGAAAAGAGGCATTCCATCTTAGTCCTCACTGATGACAACGCATACCGCAGCAGCGGCACCGATCCGACTGTTGATTTCAGCATCAAGGTCACACTTTGATAACGAAATGTATTGATCTGCTTAAGTATATCATCACCGAGTTTGATGGCCAGCGTCTCTTAACCTTAGATATCTAAAGACATCACTTCCGTCTTTTCAACACTTATCGTCAGACCAAAACTACGGCACGACTCATGAAAGGTGGTCACAAGCTGTTGCAGGCCAGCTGGGGAATCGGTCACAAAAGATAGATCATCTGCGTAGACAATCTCTGTAATAAGTGCGTAAGACACGCTGCAAGCAAGTTACGCTGGTTTTCTGTGAGAGCGTGGTCATTCCCCGGTCGAGCCGACCCATTCGTGCTACAAATATACTCCTAATATAGCTGCAGCATGGCTCTACCATATATATATATATATATATATATATATATATATATATATATATATATATATATATATATATATATATACAGAATGGGGTCCCACATATATGCAATAAATGAAACCACAAGTCATACTAGTCCATAGAAGTGTAGAAAAATTAAATATTAAATTAAAACCCGTTAAATAAACAAGGGAAATTTTCAAATAAAATAAATATTAAATTAAATTCAGTAAAAGTAAACACTCTGTTTAGACAACGTACCTTGACCCCTTGGAAGAGTGACAACGTTGCACGCGGATGGCATGGCGGTTGGCGGCAGGCAGCGTTATTGCCTATGGTTTGGTATGGTTCGTTGGACAATGTGCGACGAAATAAAAACTTACTCACTAAACTGTTTAGGTATTTTACCGCCACTTTTTTATTTCGCGAAAATGGAACTGAACGAAATAAATATTATTGCATATTAGTAGTAGTATTATTGCATAGTGTAGGGCAGACGCGAGTTGCGCCATATCTCTCACGATAAGTACGCAGAGTTAACGATGAATTTTGGCGGCATTCGCCATACAATAAAACCATGTCTGTATACTCTGCCGCACTGTAAAAATGTTGTTGTCTTGGCATTTTCCGCCGCCAAATCGTATTTAGTTTTAGTTTATTTTTTATTTTATTTTAGTTAGTTTGCACTGCGTGGCAACTTCGCTTTTTAATGTTCAAGGATTCAAGTTCATTGAATCATTGACTTATCTATTAAAACTCTATCTTTTGACGTTCTACTTTTTTACCTAATTACTGGACCGATTACGTTCATTTATTGTATATCGTTAGCAAAGGCGATAACAAGTATGTGGTTTCGTTAATTGCATATGTGGGACCCCATTCTGTATATATAAGATGTAGAAGATATTCCATACATAATCTATTTAAATACATTAAATATATACATTATATCATATACTATATGATGTAGCCATGAGATTAAGAGTGTGATCGGAGAGTTTTTGTGTTCTTTTGCGGCGGGTCTTGCAGAACTTAGCTCCGACCGCATGGACAGTTTCCACGAGCTTGTCATTCAAATCGTCCACTTCATTGCAGTCTTCTAGGCACTGAAAACGGTTTTGTAACTCGAGCTGAAAGGTTTCGGGACTTTGGATTAGAGCACGAGGGGGACGGAGCGTTGACTTCATTAGACGAGACCTCTCCAATTTAACGTTTAGGTTCAGTGTGCCTCTAACCATTCGGTGATCGCTACCAGTTTTCACCCTCGCGATCACGGAGACATCACTGAACAGTTGTCGTCTGGTCGTCATAATGAAGTCAATCTCATTTTTTGTCGAACCGTCGGGGCTCGACCAGGTCCACTTCCTGTGGGGCCGCTTCTGGAAGAAAGAGTTCATCATAAAGAGTCCCTCTTTCTCCATGAAGTCGGCCAGCTGCTGGCCCCTTGGGTTCCGTTGCTCTATTCTAAATTTCCCTACTTTCAGCTCACCGTTCTCTCTTGTGCCTAGTTTTGCGTTGAAGTCTCCCATCAACACCGTATATTGGGTTTTGGAGGAATGCATGGCTCTAGAGATATCCTCATACATTTCCTCCACCTCCTCATCGGGGTGTGCCGAGGTTGGTGCGTAAACCTGTATGACCTTCAGCGAATATCGTTTGGTGATTCTGAGTATAAGGTACGCAACCCTCGTCGACACACTCCCGATCTTTACAACGTTGTTAACGAGAGACTTGTGGACGATAAATCCGACACCTCCTTGGGACAGATGGTCGCCCTCCCGGTGATAGAGCAAGTTGCCGGATTTGAGGATTACCGTGTCCTCCCCCTCTCTTCGGACTTCGGATAATCCTATAATATGCCAGCGCAACTTGTCTATCTCTTCTTCCAGCTCCACAATCTTCTCGTCAGTCCTCAGGGTGCGTGCGTTGTACGTTGCCAGGTCGAGTCGTCTAAGGTGGCAACCGAACCTCCACCGGAGATTCTTAGCACCCCCTGCCCCGCCGCTACCATGGTCGCCACCGTAGCCAGTAATAGCGGGGCCGCCGGGGACTGGGGGCCGTTTCTTTGTTACTGTCATTCATAGGGGGGTATTTGCCATAGTTGCCACGCTTGGCGAGCGGGTTGGCAACCGCAGTTTTTTTATTGTTAGTTTGTTGTTATCAAGAAGATGCTGCTGCCCATCTCCTGCCTGTTTCCCTTTGTCGCCTTTTATGACACCCACGGGAGGATATGGGGTAGTGGATATTCTTGACCGCCACTACACGGCTAACTATTACCACATATTTTATTTTTATTCAGTAAATTGCAAAAATTCTTCTAAACTAAAATACATCCAAATACAAGATGTAATTAGAGGTATTAGGTTTCACAGTAACAATGTTGCTATACATATTTATCACAATAATTTTCTCATTTCTTGCAATGGTAGTTTACGAATAACTATCCCTGCATTTTGACTCCGTGAATGCAAGACAAAAAGTATATTTTTGGAACCATTGAGTTA